TTTTTTTTTTTTTTTTTTTTTTTTTTTTATTTTTTTTATTTTTTTTTCTTTTTCTGCAGCAGGGCAGTTCTGCTTCATCTTCTGCTATAAATAAAGTAATTAGATAAATTAATCAATTAATTAATGGTTTTATTTGTATTTATATTTATTTATATTTATTTTTATTTATTTATTTTTATTTATTTTTATTTTTATTTTTATTTTTTTCTGCAGCAGGGCAATTCTGCCTCTTCTTCCGCTCTGCGTGTGGTTTTATCTCGCCCCCTCAATTGGCTGTCTTCGGTGTCTTTGCTTCCTTCTGCTGCTCCTTTTTTCTCGTTGCTGCTCTCTTATATTTCGAGTCCTGCTGCTGATGCTGGTGCTGGTTCTCTTCCTTTACCTGAACTGCTGCAGCCAGGGATACCGCAGCAGCAGCAGCAGCAGCAGCTGCTGCTGCAGCAGCAGCAGCAGCAGCAGCAGCAGCAGCAGCAGCAGCAGACAGCAGCAGACTTTTTATTGTTTTTATCATTTATTATAATCGATAGAAAAACACAAAAAGAAGAAAAGCAAAAATTTATAAATGATTGTCTTTCTCTGTTTCCGCTGCCGCTGCTTGTTGCTGCTAGGGTTCTTCTTTATCCTCGTTTGCTGCTGCATGCGGATGAGCCAGCAGCAGCAGTTGCTGCTGCTGCTGCTGCTGCTGCTGCAGCAGCAGAAGCAGCAGCAAATAATGCTGCTCCTCCTCCTGCTGCTGCTGCAGCTGCGTTACTCGCAGCAGCAGAAAATTGTGGTGGGGGGCCAGCTGCAGCTGCAGCAGCAGCAGCAGCAGCGGCAGCAGCAGCAGCAGCAGCAGCAGGAAATATCGTTCCTATAAACCCATATCCTGCTGCTGCTGCTGCTGCTGCTGCTGCTCCTGGCGGTTGTAGCTTTTCTTCTTTCACAGCAGCAACAGCAACCACAACAACAACAGCAGCAGCAACAACAACAACAACAACAGCAGCAGCAGCAGCAGCAACAACAGCAGCAGCAGCAGCAAACAATGTATCCCTCCCCTACCCTCAGCTGCATGCGTTCCCTCCTGGTAGCCGCCCGTACATAAGGTCTGGGCCTCTGCCTGCTGCTGCTCCAGCAGCAGCAGCAGCAGCAGCAGCAGAACAAGCAGCAGCAGCAGCAGCAGCAGCAGCAGCAGCAGCAGCAGCAGGACAAGGAAGCCGCAGCAGATGGAGAGACAGACGCTCAGGGGGAGATGCAGCACGAAAGAACGAAAACCAAAATTTATTTCTTTTTGCTGCTAGCCGCCACGATACACAGAAAAACAGCAGCAGCAGCAGCAGCAGCAGCAGCAGCAACAGCAGCAGCAGCAGCAGCGGCAGCAGCAGCAACAGCAGCAGGACAAATGCAGGTGCGAGGAAAGGCCTCAATCAACAACAAGCTGCAACACAACCCAGCAGCAGCAGCAACAGCAGCAACAGCAGCAACAATAACAGCAGCAGCAGCAACAGCAGCAGCAGCAACAGCAGCAGCAGCAACAGCAACCGCAACAGCAGCAGCAACACCACGATTCAGAGAGGGCCCCCTGCAGCAGGCAGAAACCCACATATCACAGCAGCAGCAGCAGCAGCAGCAAGAGAGTATAACAGCAGCAGCAGCAGCAGCAACAGCAGCAACAGCAGCAGACAGGATGGCATCCCCCCACAGACTCAGAGCAAAAGGGCAACAGACAGCAACAGCAGCAGCAGCAGCAGCAGCAGCAGCAACAGCAGCAGCAGCAGCAGCAAAAACGGACACAAGCCAACACTCACACCAGCAGCAGCAGATACTGCTGCTGCTGTTGCTGCTGCTGCTGCTTCTAAAGACAGCAGATGGAAAGCAGAAGAAATTCAGCAGCAACAGCAGCAGCAGCAGCAGCAGCAGCAGCAAACAGACGCAGCAGCAGCAGCAGCAGCAGCTCAAAGATGGGCGGCCCCTGTTGAGTGCACATCTCCCTCTAGCCAGCACAACAGCAGCAGCAACAGCAGCAGCAGCAGCAGCAGCAGCAGCAGCACCATCCCCCCTTCATCTGCTGCTGTAATGTCTCCCCCGAAGGGTCTGAACACCCCAGACGCAGCAGCAGCAGCAGCAGCAGCAGCAGCAGCAGCAGCAGCAGGAGACGGCAGCACAGATTGCATGCGTCCTCTGTATAGTGTTGCTGCTGAAGATAGAGAGATGTGTCTATCTACAGCAGGAGCAGCAGGTTTGCTGCTGCAGCAGCTGCAGCAGCTGCAGCAACTGCAGCAGCAGCAGCAGCAGCAACTGCAGCAGCTACCTGTTGCTGCTGTCAGCAGCAGCATTTCCACAGCTTTTTCTGCTGCAACAAACAGCGATTGCTGCCCCGGAATATCTGAGCCACTTGAAGCAGCAGCAGACGCAAAAAGCAGCAGCAACAGGGAGCAGCAGCAGCAGCAGCAGCAGCAACAGCTGCTGCTGCAGCAGCAGCACATGCAGCAGCAGCACCTGCAGCAGCAGCAACAACTGCCGCAGCAGCAGCAGCAGCAGCAGCAGCAGCAATTCGCAGATAAAGAAGAAACAAATAGAGACTGCTGCTTTAATCCAACTGCAGCAGCAGCAGCAGCAGCAGCAGCAGCAGCAGCAGCAGCAGCAGCAGCAGCTAGTCAGCAGCATGGAGCTGAAGCAGAAGCAACAGAAGAAAACACAAAAAACAAAAAAGAAAAAAAAGAAGAAAATAGAGAAAAAGAAACAGCAAATGCATGCGCTGTACAATGAACTCATACTTTGGGGTGTATAGGCAGCTCAGCTGCATGTATATATAAAAAAAATAAATAAATAAATAAATATATAAATATTTATTTATATATTTATTTATTTATTTATTTGTTTATTTATATATTTATGTAATTTGTTATATTGTTTAGGGTGTATGTACACTATCTATTATAATATATACAAAATATACTATACATATATATAATATAAATATAGACTAGATAAATATATTATAAGGTATTATACATATATATATATATATATATATACAGCTGGGTGTTTGTATGTAAAAATAAAAAAAATAAAAAAAACTAAAAAAAACTAAAAAAAAAAAATTGCGTTAATTTGCGTTTATTTATTTCTCCGTAATCTGCGGTGTCTATACACCTTTTTTTGTTTTTTTGTTTTTTTTTGTTTTTTTTTGTTTTTTTGTTTGTTTGTTTGTTTGTTTTCTCGGTTGCTTGCTTCTATTTGTTTGTTTGTTTGTTTGTTTGTTTATCTTTATTTATTTATTTATTTATTTATTTATTTATTTATTTATTTGTTTGTTTGTTGTATTGTGTATATATGTATTAATATAGAAGCACAAGCAGTTACTCTGCATGCATTCAGGTTGTTATTGC